ACCTGTTAATTTTGTTGCTCTTTCTCTTTTGTTAGAGTTACTTGAACTGTTTTCTATAGCTTTTGTTGAGTTTTTGTTGATTTTGCTTCTGCTTGTTTTTGTGTTCAAGTGATTGTCAGGGAGAGTGTGTATGTAAAATGAGTTTATATGTGTTAGCAAATAAATATTTAAATAGTTTGTATGTATTATATCTTACTATTAAAAGGTTCTTTCATATTAATAGCTCTTGATTCAGATTCTTTCGTGTTAATAGCTCCTGATTCAGGTTCCTTCGTATTAATAATATCCAATTCAGGATCTTTTTCACTATTAATTTCCAAATCAGTTGTAGTCACTTCATACAAGTTGGGTAGCTCAAAAGTATTTGCTATGGGCGGTAAAGATTCTAGAGAATCTTTAATTGTTAGATCTACAGTTTTGCTTTGATTGCATTGATCATAGTTTTTGGCGCATTTTTGACACAAATTAAATTAAGTCTTGATTTGTTAAAATCTCGACTTTTATTGAATTCTTAGTCCAATCGACGAATTCTTGATCGAATCTTACTTTTTTAATACTAGCACCTATTCGTATAAAATATTTACTATAAAAGCTAATTTGATATCCAAAGCCTTTTTTAGATTTCTTGTCAAGTTTTATTGGTTGACAAGAACAATCTTTTCCATAAACTTTTGTACAAATTAAACACACTAAACATATTGGGCAAGCATTCAAACGAAATTTTAAAAATGTTGACATTATAATAATAAAATTATTTGTATGCAGAACAGTATTATATTTATTATGGTAATTTTTGGAATTGGAACAATGATGTAATTTAGACGTATGTATTATATCAATATTACAGTAAATAAAAATTGATCGAATTCAAAAATATATTTAATTTAGACGTCAATATTACAGTAAATAAAAATTGAACAAATTCAAAAATATATTTAATTTATGATGTAGATATTATATTTTTTATATACCGATCATGCCGAAAAAATTACCGGCCGAAAAATTTTTCGGCAAGTTTTTTATAGGTGTCCCAGGAATAATGAAAATAGCTGTAAGGAAAATACTGAAAAAATTAGTTGCACATTATTTTTCTGAATCCTTTTTGCGCCCACCATATTATTACTCCCATTTTCGATAATATAAGCAAAAATTTGTTGCACGTTATTTTTCCGAATCCTTTTGCGGTCAATGTATTTCTCCTCCCATTTTTGATAATATAATGTCGATCATTTATCAATTATGAGCGTAATTATCTTATTTATCAGAACTATTAACGATTTGTATGACTTGGCTCTTAAAATCGATAGTTCCCGCTTGAGTCATGACCTGAGATATGACTTAAGCAATTGATCCAATGGTTATTGCTGGAAATGTGGTACCGGATTCCCATTTAAGCATCTGAACCCGATCACTATATAACTATTCGCATTAGAGTTATCCAGTATTTCTAAATCAGGCCTATATACATCTGTCTCTGGTTTCTTAATTTCTAGATTTAGCTCTAATTAGTTATATATGTATATTTAATACATATTATGTATGTTTCAGATCACATTAAGACTAGTAAATAATAAATGATAAACTTAGATTCTCGGTTTGAGGCTTTTCCTTGGGCACTCATAACACAATTCCAACTTTTCCATAATTCTTAAGCATAGAGAGGAAGCCGTCTAGGAGATTTTTTATATAGCTACAAAGAGAATCGTTTCATGATATGACGTGATAATGCTTATTTGCCTTTTCACTGACGTTTTAGCCGTGGAGCCCACAATCCATTTAATGAAGGTCCTTGCATTACTACTGTAGCCATGCATCCGTGGTGCCTAACTGGTAAAGTTTTTGCATTGCTATTACGGCTTCGGAGTCCAATTGTTACAAAAACAAGATCCTTGCACCACTACTATAGGCCATCGCAGCCACGAAGCTTAATTGTTATGAAACAAAGTCCTTGCACCTCTATAAAAAATTTGCCGGCAATGTTTTAAGAATTTTCAAAAAAAATGCACAGAATGGAGTCGAAACATATACTTACATTGTACAATGTTATACCTAATATCGTCAACCCAAAAATTTTTTATATCACGGTATAAAAATTGTATAATGTCGTACTGGTATTCAGAAAATCGACTCCGTTCTGAACATTTTTTTGAAAATGCCTACAATAACTGTACAAACTTTTTAATAGGGCACAGCCACTGTAGCTGTGAAGCCTAATCGCTACAAAAAGCCAAAGCAAAAATGAGGTTCTTGCACTGCAAAGCCTGACCTTACTAATATACTTTGCCTAACAAACCCGCCGCCAAGAGATCCGTATCATCTCATTGGCAACTAATTTGCGGACAAGCTCATTTCGCGAATAATTAAATCACAGATAAGCATTATACAGACAGTTTATTTTATTGACAAGTTTTTCTTATAATTTGCACTACCTTAACTATAATTCTAAATATGATCCTAACGGCAATGACCAAATTATTTTGTCAGTGAAATAAGCTGTTGGTGAAATAAACTGTCTATGAAATGACCTTGTTTGTAAATTAATTGTCAGTGAAATAAGTTGTCGGTGAAGTAATTGTCAGCAAAAATGAATGGAATCCGCTGCCAAGCATTAAACTTATTGCCAAGTGCTGCAAGATAGGCATTGCGGAGAAATAATAAAGCCAGCCTCTTTGCAAGACGAGTGATAGCATAGAAAAATTTGATCTCCCCTACTAAAAAAATTTACTCCCTACTGATTTTATACTTGACAATAAGATAATAACATTCGCTATTACCAATTAACAATCATATATATGTGATTATAATCTTAACCAAAAAAAACTTGTATCTAATGAGACAATGCAGTAGCCATTACAAAAAAACAGCCAAAAAGGGAACACAGCTTTAGACGGCCTCTATAAAAGATGACAAATTAGTACATAATCATACTGATCTCAAAATCAGTGTCATGAAAAAATTGTAATCTTTACAACCATACAATCCAATCAGCTTTATAGTTTTGCTTTGGTTTACTTATCAATAAGCCATATGCTTCATTTCACTATGTTCTAGGTATGTACATATATACGTATACAAAAAAATTTGGTTACTACAAAAACTGGGTTTAACATCTCTATGAAAAAATATATACTAAAATAATAAAGAAAATTACAAATAATATACAGAATATAATATATATATACTGAATAATAAGTTTATATAATAAATTAAGGGAATTGCTATTCACACTATGCCTTTTTGCTATTTGCACCATGGTTATACTGAAGATTACTTCAATTTTATCACTTTATTGTTTATAAATATTTAAAATTTTGATCAAAAATATCTCAGCAATCACTTGACCAAAATCAATGAACTTTTTTTATTTGAATTCTACAGATTTGTAGAATTCAAATAAAAAAAATGTTTATTGATTTTGGTCAAGTGGTTGTTGAGATATCTTTGATCAAAGTTTTGATATAAATATCGGCACAGCTATAGTATTATTAAGTGATATAGATGTTTTAAATTTTTCCAAAACTTGATCGAAGATATCTTAGCAGCCACTTGACCAAAATCGATAAACTTTTTTTTATTTGAATTCTACAGATCTGTAGAATTCAAATAGAAAAAAGTTCATCGATTTTGGTCAAGTGGTTGCCGAGATATCTTTGATCAAAGTTTTGGTATAAATATCAATACAGCTATAGTGTTTAAGTGATATAGACATTTTAAATTTTTCAAAACTTTGATCAAAGATATCTCGGTAACCACTTGACCAAAATTGATAAACTTTTTTTTATTTGAATTCTACAGATCTGTAGAATTTAAATAAAAAAAGTTCATAGATTTTGAACAAGTGGTTGTTGAGATATCTTCGATCAAAGTTTTGGTATAAATATTGACATGCTAGTGTTAAGTAATATAGACGTTTTAAATTTTTCTAAAACTTTGATCAAAGATATCTCAGCAATCATTTGACCAAAATCGATAAATTTTTTTTATTTGAATTCTACAGATCTGTAGAATTCAAATAAAAAAAAGTTCATCGATTTTGGTCAAGTGGTTGTTGAGATATCTTCGATCAAAGTTTTGGTATAAATATCAGTACAGCTATAGTGTTATTAAGTGATATAGACATTTTAAAATTTTCCAAAACTTTGATCGAAGATATCTCGACAACCACTTGACCAAAATCAATGAACTTTTTTTTTATTTGAATTCTACAGATCTATAAAATTCAAATAAAAAAAAGTTTATCAATTTTAGTCAAGTGGTTGCCAAGATATCTTCGATCAAAATTTTAAATATTTATAAACAATAAAGTGATAAAATCAAGGTGATCTTTAGTGTAATCATGGTGCGAATAGCAAAAAAGCATGGTGTGAATAGCAATTCTCAAATTAATATTAAATTGTTATATTAAATAGATACAGAATTATTTTTGATACAAAATGAATGCTGAATTGTTATACTAAATAGATACAGAATTATTTTTGATACAGAATGAATGTTAAATTGTTATACTGAATAGATACAAAATTATTTTTAATACAGAATGAATGTTGAATTGTTATACTGGATAGATACAGAATTATTTTTGATACAAAATGAATGCTGAATTGTTATACTGGATAGATACAGAATTATTTTTGATACAGAATGAATACTGAATTGTTATACTGGATAAATATAGAATTATTTTTGATACAGAATGAATGCTGAATTGTTATACTAGATAAATACAGAATTATTTTTGATACAGAATGAATGCTGAATTGTTATACTGGATAAATATGGAATTATTTTAATACAGAATGAATGCTGAATTGTTATACTAGATAAATATGTAATTATTTTTGATACAAAATAAATGCTGAATTATTATATTGAATAGATATAGAATTATTTTCAATACAGAATAAGTACTAAATTGTATGCTGAATAGATATAGGTATATATATAATCTTTATAAATATATTTAAGCTTAAATTAAATATTATTTATAATAAAAAAAGCAAATTAATAAATATTTATATTTTTATTATTATTCTTTTTCTTACTATAACTATAATGCAGAACCAATTATGATACACACGTAATATCTCATAATTCAGTAGATAGAATCAGATGATTTTATCACCATTTGATTTGTCTTGATGAGACGAATTAAATGGTAGTAAAATCATCTAATTTTTGATCAGTAGATTACAAGATAGCTTTGCTTAAATAAAATGAACAAATTTTTTAAATTATAAGTTAATAAAAAATTAATCGTATTATATTAATAATAGGCTTTTTTATTAAGCAAATTGATCTTTACTATTAAGGCAATTTTGTTTACCATAAAAAATTCTACCTACCTCTAAATTTTTATTAATTGATATTTGTAAAAAACATAATTGTGTCATAATATATTCATTTGGTTTAAAAATATATTTTATAAAGTCAATTAATAAAAATTATTTAATTTTTTTATAAAACTTTGGAGATAAGTAGAGTTTTTAATGCTGAATAAAATTGTCTTAATAATGAAGATCAATTTACTTAGTAAAAAAATTTCATATACAATATTAAGTTTGTTTTTTTAAGTTATTAAAATTTAATCATTAATTGCTTATAACTTTTGATGCAGTGATCATAATCAAATGATTTTGGTACCATTTGATTCATCTCAATGAGATGAGTCGAATGGTACCAAAATTATTTGATTCTAATTACTGTATCATGAGATATTACATGTGTATCATAATTAGTACATGCATTCAAATTATAATTAGTATATGCATTCAAATTTATTAATTTTTTAAAATTTATTTTAATTAGCAATAACTTCTGAACTAATAATCAGAATTAAACAATTTTGATACCATTCGATTTATCTTGATGAAATGAATCGAATGGTAGCAAAATCGTTCAATTTTGATCAGTAGTTCACGTGATACCAGTTGTTAAAGTTACCTGTGTTATAATATCCCCTTTACCTTATATTTAAGTTTAATTAAATATAAATTTATAAAGTATATATATTTATAGTATATATACTTATAAAAGTTATACTGTACAACATATTATAAAACCTGAAATTTGAGTTTTGTTATTACAATTACTATATTTATTTAAAAATAATTTTTTTTAAATAATTTAAAATATAATAGTTTTTTAATTAATAAGCAATAGTTGTTTTATAGTAAAGTTAAATATTTACTAAGTAAATCAATTTAGCTTATTAAGTAAATATTATTCAGAAGGTCAAAATAAATATATCTTGAAAGTTATATATAAATTAAATAATTTTTTATTAATATATTTTTGTATATTTGTTTAAATAAAAAATTTAATTTTTTTAATAATAATATTTATTTAGTGTGTAAAAGACTAATAATAAAAACTTATCTAATTTATATAAAACTTTTAAAATATATTTTTTTTTGATATTGTAAACAATATTTACTTAATAAGCTAAGTCGATTTACTTAGTAAATATTTGCTTTACTATAGAATAACTATTGGTTATTAATTAAAAAACTATTATATTTTAAATTTTATTTTGGAATAAATAAAGTAATAGTAATAACAAAACCCGAATTTTGGGTTTTGTAATACATAGTAAATATATTTAAATTTGAATTATATATATTATATATTAAAAAAGTGATACACTTATAATAGATATACTTATAAAATTTTACTTTATTATTAAAAAACTAAAATTCAGGTTTTGTTAGAGCTGTGACATTTATTACGTAATATTTTTTTATTAAGGGGGTTACACTTCTCTCCCACATCATATTATATTATATATAAAATATATATATGATATTATACCTAGCTACTCTCCTTCCCTCTAAAAATATTACGTAATATCTGTCAGCGCCCTTATTACAATAAAAAATTTAACTAACTGTAACTGTGGTAATTATCACTAGTTACACAATCAATTAACTTTAAATTAGTTATACAGGATGGATATAAATGATAATTTATTCAAATTTTTTTTCATTTCCTTTTTTTTGCTTTATTTTTTTATATATTAGTTTTAACATATATTTTTCTTTTTTCAATAATAGAGTTGTGTTTCTTTCACCGGTTAGCTTTGTATTGTTAGTATTACCTAATTGGTATTTTTTTCGCCAGTTGTGCTTTGCATCACTATTCAGTGCTTTATTTCTGGTTAGTGCTTTTTTATGTATTGATATTGTTTAGTTGGTGCTTCTTTTGCTAGTTGGTTTTTGCTTTATTGGTATTATTCTATTTAGTGCTTTTTCGTCAGTTGGTGTTTTACATCACCAAGTTCAGTACTTTTTGCTGGTTGCTTCTAGTGGTTGAAGTTTTTTTCTTACATTATTAGAGTCATCAAGTTCAGTGTATTTTTTTTATTATCGTTCAGGTTGCTTTTTTTTCATAGTACATTATTTGGAATAATGAGTTTCTTAACTATACAGCTAAGTAACAATTTTTTTTGCTTTTAATATTATGTTTGTGCAATACTAATTCAAGTTCAGGATAGGTATCCATCACATCTCGCTTTTTCAGTATGTTACTGTATATTTTTATTAATGTTGATGCCAAGTTTGTATTGTGTTATGTTTGGTACTTTGTTTGTTATTTTATTCTTTATGCTGTAAATGATGTTTTTCAATTTTCATATTAGACTTTGATTTTTGTGACATTGTAGTTATAATTTAGTTGTTAGGAGAATTGGTTCGATATTAGAGTTAGAGTTAAAATTAAGATTAGATTAAGCAGAAAAGAAGCGAAGCAATACAAGCTATATAAATTATAATTAGATAATATATAAGAATATATAGTTGCATATAGCTAATAGAATGATTAAAGCTATAGTATTGTAATAAAATAATTGTATTAGTGCATCGAATTGATTGATTTGTAATTTGTATCTTACATATATATAACAAGTATCGCTTGATTGCAGTGATGATCATTGTGATTATGATTAGTAAAATTTATTTATTATATATAAAATTTATACAAAACTTATTTTTAATTATACTTATTTTATA